AATAATGCTAAATTATGTACAATGTAACAAATGACTATCAATTTTTGTAACTTAAGCCGAATTTTGCTGAATCATATGACTGAATCAGCTGAATATTAACCGAATAGTATTAGTGCTGAATGAAATGATTTCGACTAATACATATAAATGTTCACCTTTCACAGCATACTCGTAATTTTGAAACACTTGTAAATACGGCTGTTAGTGTGAAAGAAATGGTTCATCGCACATTCAAGGGTATAATATCACACACAAATCATAAAGTAATTGAATTGGATTTTACCTAAAGATACAACACAATATAGGCATTAAGACATATTATCGATAGTTTAACAGATTCTCATTTTAACACAAATACCAATACATTTAGTAATTTGATTATCCTTTGACTAATATTATCAGACTTGTATGTTACAGAAAATCCACATACATTTATGAGTGAACAGGAATTCAAAGTTGAAAATGATGGTAAGTTTCTTTTATTCATTAATAAAATTTTGTTTTGTTTTACTAAATTATAAGATTTTTTTCAATAGATATCAAAATTATTGCATATCAAGATAAAAATTTAATTAATATTACATTTAGCAATCAATAGATTATCAAAAAAATTAAAGCATAGGTCTATCAAAAAGATTAGATGATAAACATCCACTTTTTCAGAATCTTTCTAGGTCATATTTGGAGTATTTTGAATCAAAAGCTACATTATTGAATAGAAAGGTGGATTTTTATAATTCTATTGTATATACTATTCTTAGAAATAAACAGGATCCTATTTGACTAAAAGTTCATGTTGGTGATATTGTAGAATTATCTGAAGAATCTGAAGGTATCGCTTATGCTAAAATTAACTTAATTTTTCAATACCAAGCAAATAACAATCAATATTATGCATTTTTTTTATTTGATTGGTTTCAAGCAATAAATACCATTGATCCTATATTAGAATATTTACTTTATAACATTCAAAAACCTAAAAAATACGATGGTTATGCATTTTTCCAATTAATTATATTGATCACATTTCACATATACATTTTATATATAGATGTGAAAGGAATTGTGATATCAAGCATGATGAAATCAATAGATGTTATATTTTTAATGAGTTTTATTATAATTCAATATAGAGTTGGGATATTTAAATTATATATATATATAAAATATGATGGATATATATATAATATTAATAAAATATTGTTAATATATTTCAAAAGGATTTTTATTATATTATTAGCATTTAAAAATATTATTGATATATGATAAATTGATTTTTATTATATTTATTGATATTTTAATAAATATATTGTTAATATATGAGAAGTTTGCTAGGAAAATGGGGTTCTGAGACATTTTTTAAAAAATTGAAATTTTTGATACTGTTATCTTATGATACTAATGACTGAAAATTAGTATTAACGCAAGATTAACAAAGGATTTAGCTTTAAGACTTTGCCGTGCGATTTATGGAGAGCTTCTGAAGGTTTATCGATCAAATATATTTTAGAGACAAAGTATAATTTCTGGGTTAAG